GGTGTGTGTGTGTGTGTGTATGTGATCCCACTCAGAAATCTGGCTGCCGCCTTTTGGATCTGCTGAAGTTTCCAAATACTTTCCAAAAGCAGCCAACATAGAGCATATTACTGTACTGTAATCCAGCTGGGGTGTAATTAAAGTGTGTGTGTCACCACAGCCAGCTGAGAACTCACCAGGAACAGGTGCAGCTGGCACACTAGTTTTTTAACTATGCAAATACACTCCTGGCCATATCACTTGAGAGAATATAACCAACCCCCTATTTAGCAAAGATGGTAAAAGCAAGCTTCACAGGTTATTTTTTTTCTTATCCATTGCTTTTCTGTAAACAATTCCCATCCACCCCATCTGAATAAAACCTCATAGCCATACATGTATAAGTGAATAAGGAATCTTTTAGGCAAAGTTTTAAAAGCTTTGCTAGATCAGACTCCGTTACAGACATCAGTTATGTCATCCACTGATTATTACTTACAAATACCGGCTGTGCAAGTCAAATGATGGTTGCCTGCTTAAAACATCACCACTATACTGATGCATAGCTTATTTTGCTGTTTGCAACTATCTGTACTTCCAAAAATATTTTCTTTATACTGTATGCATATTAGAAGAGCTGTGCTAGATCAGGCGAAAGGCCTATCTAATCCAGCAATCTGTTCCCTTGATGGCCAATCAGATGCCTATAAGAAGTTCATAAGCATGTTATTAGGGAAAGAGCATTGTCCATTCATGTTCCCCAGAAACAGTTATTGATAGGTACAATATACTGCAGATTGCCTTGTACCAAGGTTATCACTAAGTATTGTAAACTGGCTATTATTAATTTGTATTACTCAATGCTACAGAGGAGACCAAGCTGTATAAAAGACATGTCTATCTGGCATACAGCTAAAAATCCCAATTCAAGTACAGTAATTAACAGCTTGGTAGACTGTTTACTGCATTACAAACACTGTCACCTTATCTATTGTATGTATTATCACGTGGCCCTTGGATACATATAAAATCCATGTATTTGAAGAAGTGGATTTTTATCCACAAAAGCTCACACTGAAGTCTTTGAAGTCCCACAATATTTAGCTTTTTTCTTCTTTCCCCCCCCTTTAATTACGCCAACATGCTGAGACCAAGGAAATATATGATAATAAATAAAAACAAATAAGTTTCCAAACTTCTGGGCATATCTGACTGCTGCACGTCCACATATTCGTTGGCTAAGATCTGCCTCATTTTAAAATCATTTGGGGTTTATTTCAACTTAGAACACACAACCAAACTCCAATAAATTTAATCTCTAGATACACAGAAAGCTCATCTCAAAAACCTGTGGATTGTTTTAAGACTTTGCTTAAAGTGCTTTCCCACCCTTTCATCTGAAACTCTAATCCCTGTCGTTTATCTAAAGTAAAACCTGAAATGGGCTTATGAAATATCTGGCATCTGGTAAAAAGCAACTACTATTCCAGCTATTTTATCACTGCTACTGACAAATAAAAATGTTTAAATTCAGTTTCAACTGCAAGAATCCCTTCCCTCTCATCACCAAAGTTGCATTCAGCATTACCTTTTAGCTTTTGATTGCAAACACTACTAACAGATTAAACTGGTGAAGCTTCATAGTTAACACAGTCCTCTGCTCAAAGCAGGATTACCTGTCCAGTAATAAACAAAGCAGGACTGATTATGTCAACATTTTTCTTCGACATTTTGCATAATTATACCAGTAGAGATAGCAGCAACAAGCCTTACATGTTTTCCTATTGCTTTAAGCTGTATATATGGCTACAGAGAGCAAACTACACAGAAATAAGGCATTTGGGGTTGTTTTTTTGAAACATATGCTACAAATACTACATAGGCTAGCAGAACGGAAGCAGTTTCTCAACTGCCCAGCTTCTCAAGGCATACATACAATGCAATCTTCTCATATAAAAAGGAGCTCTTTCTGACAATACCTTTAAGTGCCAATTATTCATTTTCAACTCAGTAAATTGAGAAAAGAACAAAGTCTCAGTACAACCCTGATTAAAATCTCATCCTTATCTCCAAAACACATTTGTAGCTATGTCTTAGCTCCAATTAGAAATAAAAGCTGCTGTGCTGTATCTGGAAAACGGGGGGGGGGGGGAATGTTACTTGGGGAACAATTATGTTAATTATACAACTCCAATATGCCATTAATTAGAATACTCCTTTCTAGGTTCTTTTATGTACATATATGCTACACTGTTTAGAGTCTTTGGAGTTTGTTTTGCAGAGTAGATTACTCTTATATATTTTTTGCTCAAGAAAAATCAAGAGGAAGGGTATTTATTCTGCTTAGTGAATCCGTACTAGAAATTGTCTTGCTCCCATCCTATCGACTCATAATAGAATTCACTTGATCACACTGAGTCTAATCTTTAGCATGAAATGAAAACACTGCAGCATAAAGTCCAAAAATAGTATTTCCTTGCACTTTAATTATTTTGGATACACTTCAAAAAGGAGACACAAGATCCATTAAAGCTGCAAAAAGGACCCCATCGTGCCAGATGTTAGGCATTGAGTTATACTAAAACATTCCAAAACTTTGACTATACACATTTCAAATAAAAAAACTGAATTATCACTAGGCATTATTTGGATAAGATTCATTTCTATTCACAGCTAAAAATAAATCTCACATTAAAGTCAAGTTGTCCTCTTTTCTACGCAAACAAATGGAATGACTCCATGTTATTTCAAGCAGAAGTGAGATTAGCACACAAAAAGGTAGATTGTAGGTTATACTTTTGGAGGCAGGCATTCTACTTAAAGTGATACCCAGTGTGGTGCAGTGGACAGAGTGAAGGGTTAGGACTCAGAAGACCTGCATTTGAATCCCCATTCATCCATGGAAACTTACCAGAGAGGGTGGGTGACTAGAACTGTTAAAACCATTCCTTAAATGACTTATTTATTTTTGAAAGCTCTATTAGAATTGGCATAAATAGGAAACAACTTGACACATAACTTAAACTCTCAGTCGTACTTAATAAACCATGAAAGAGAAAGTGAGTGATCGGAGGTATCTCATCCTACATAACTTGTTCTAGCTCACATTTTTCCCAGTGCAACAAAAGTGATACCAGGGTCTCCTGTCTCTCTCTCTCTCTCTCCACCATTAAGCTACCCAGAGAGACAGTGCAGGAATGAGAGAGAGCAGAGGAGGCTAAGAGCACAAAGAGCAACCACCTTACTCTTTCATCCATAGTCTGCCCTCTGGGATCACCATGCATGGCAGGAGAGAGTGGGTGGATGAACCCACTGCATTTCCCTGAGAAAGATGTAGCAAAAGAATCTCTCTCTCTCTCTCTCTCTCTCTCTCTCCCCCCCCCCCCCCACATCTTTCTGGTGCCATGAGGACCAATCTCATTAAAATCGACCCAGAGAAGCAGGTAGAGGTGTGTGTGTGTGTGTGGACACAGAGCTTGGGAAAGGTGCCTTTTTGAATTACAAATCACTGAATCTTTCCCACCCGGATGATACACAGCAGTTCCAGTGAGCTAAGGTGCGTGCGTGCGTGCGTGCGTGCGCGCGCAAGGTGCCTTTTTGAATTACAGCTCACTGAATCTTTCCCACCCGGATGATCCACAGCAGTTCCAGTGAGCAAAGGTAAAAGTAATGAGGACTCTGGCAGTGAAGACTCTGCTTTCTCTTATTTGCAAACTTTCTCCAGATAAAACAGGGAAATAAGCTTGAATGAATATAGGAAAGAATCACCTTCTCTTGATCAGCCTGGGTCACTTGCATTCTTTCTTTGGGCAATGCAGCAAACCTGAGTCTTATGGTTGTGAGGGCAGGAAGCCTCAGCAGCGTCCTTCGAGCCATCATTCATTCAGCTACTCACTTTTGTGGGCATACCAGCACCAGTTGCCCTATGCCACCGGCAATGAGTCTCAGCAGAAGCTAAAGATGCAGGCACAAGAGTGGTTCTCCCATCCACCTAATGGGGCCAAACCTGCCCAGGAGCTGCTGTGGCACTTCAGCAGCAGCCACATAAGGGGGTCATGGGCCTTGCAGAGATTATTTGAGCTCAACAGTTTCCTCACAGCGTTTAAAGACCCTACCATTTTCCGCCAGTATTTTGTACAGCAATAAGCCACTGGTTCACTCCGATACCCAACAACCTGACAACCCAGTCCAGAAATAAAAGCACTGCGAATAGAGAAACACTTGCTGCCTCCAGCTGGGAAGATGGTGCAAACCGTTTGGTCAACAGGGAGAAATGTACAGAATCTGCACTGGGATGGTTTACCGTGGTTCATGACAAGCCACCCAAAAGCACCCACCACACTAGAAAACAGCTTCCTGCAGGCTAGCATTACCAAACTGATCCTCAGGAAACACACACTGGTGTTAGGGATGGAGACCAAACGCCAACAAAGTACCACCTAACAGACCGCCTAAAGGGTCGTAGTCCTGGGGTTGCTTTTCTCTCCCAAACGCTAGGGGGTTTGCATGGAAGCTAAAATGCAAAACACCAGAGATCCCGCCAGCCCCACTGAAGCCTTTCTAAGGAGTTGGGGGGGGGCGTGGAGGCACACAGCTGGCTGTGGCGGACATGCTCGCTCCATAATCATGGCCCCTGCAAAACAACCTGCAGGGGTGTCTGCGGGGAGGCAGGAGGAAGGCATTCCCGCTATTTCCACAAGCCCTGTGCTTTAAAAGCTCCAAGGCAGGGCTTATGCTCTCCCGGAATGGGAGACCACCTCATCCTCCGGAATTCTGGAAACACTCCCGTTAATCCCCGTCCCAAGCGCACGACAGCTGGAGCAACTCCGTCGGACAAACGCCCGCGAGTGTGCACGAGGGGGAATTCACCTCTGCCTTCCTGGTCTGCAACATCCATTGCCTCCACCCCACCCAGACGAAGCAAGCCTCTACGACGGATGACAAGCAACCGAAGTGCCCGCTGCCGCCTCGGCGCTTCGCCCGCCCCCGCCCCGGGACCCCTTAAGACAGGAGGCGCTCACCGCATAGTAGGGGGAATGCCTCGCGTTCAGCAACACCAAGTCTCCCATGGTGGCCGGGCAGCCCCCGAGATCCCCCCGGCGCTGCATCGCGTTTGGCTGGACTCTTCCCCTCACGCCCTCTTCTGGCCTCCCCCCTCCTTCCCCTCAGACCGTCCCAGAGGCGGTAGCGACCAGCCCGGGTCCGGCCACCTCCGGCAGCCACGAGGGGAGAAGCATCCTCTGTCACCGCCTCAGAAACTCCTTTCCCAAGAGCCGGGACCCAGATGGGAAGAGGGCGGCCGCTGGGGATTCAGCAGCCCGGGCAGCGCCGCGGCAGCCGTGGGGCGGGGCGCCTCGCCAGCCCTCCCTCCCTCCCGGCCCCGGTTTGCTGCCATTGGGCTTCGGAAGGGGAAAGGCCGCCCAAGAGGGCCGAGGGAGGCCGCCCAGCCCGCCCGTCCCCTCCTCTCCTCGGAAGCAGCGGGAGTTTTCGTCGCGGCGGTGTGCGCTCCTTAACTGCCCGGAGGCGCCCGGCGCTCCCTGAAGGCAGGAGGGGTGGGCGTCTGCCTCGCGTGAGGGCCGCCAAAAGAGTCCCGCTGGCACCATATACAGACGGTTTTTTAAAACCATACAAAAGAAACACTCCTGCCAACCAACAGTTCCATTAATCCCGTGGGGCTTCTCGTAAAGGTTAACAATACTGATGTGTTAATCCAGAGAGCTCCTTTTCTGGTTCTTTGCGTCAACAGCTCAGGCGGCTGCAAGTGCTCTAGACTAGAGATCATTTGGATTATTTATGGGATATGGGATTTTTAAAAAAACTTATTTTGAAAAGAGAGATCCCATGTCTTTTGGGCAGGGGCACAGGAGGTACTGTACAGAGCTAGGAGTGAAAAGAGGAAACAATCTGAATTGCCACTCTTTGGTTTGCCTATTGAGGAAACAGGGGATGCATGCCAAGAAGAAACACATAGGCAATATTTGATGTACAGTGGTGCCTTGCTAGACAATGATAATCCGTTCCACTGAAATTGCTGTTTAGCCAAATCACCGTCTAGCGAAAAGCATTTCCCCATTGGAATGCATTGAAACCCGTTTAATGCGTTCCAATGGGGAAGAATCGTTGTTGTCTAGCGAAGATCAGCCATAAGAAAGTCGCTTTGCGAACCCCCAATCAGCTGTTTAAATAGTTGTCTTGCAAAGCTTAAGTCCCGAAAACCCCCGTTTTGCGAGCACAGAGGGAGCTGTCAATCGTTGTCTAGCGAAAATTGGTTTGCGAAGCAGGGACCAAACATTGTCCAGTGAAATTCCCCCATAGAATCACTGTTTTGCTAATCGCTATAGCGATCGCAAAAAGTCAATGTCTAGCGAAGAAACTCATGTGGGGCACCACTGTACATGTAAGGATAACCAAAGGGAGAAATTCCAGCAAATGAAGATGTAGGAAATGAAGACCCTCCGTTACAACCCAGAAAACACCCGTATCTCCTGTCCTTGTCTCCAAAGCAGCAGGCTCGAGTACAATTGGTGGGCGGTAGGTAGGGGCAGAAATTAAGGTGTCTAAGCAAGCAACCCAAACATATCAGCAGAGCTTGGAAAAGTAACCTTTTAGGACTCTTCATGCCCATAACCCCACAGATGCTTCCTGGGAGATTCTGGAAATACTGTATAGTCAAAAAAAGGGATTTTTCCCCAAGGCCTGCATCTCACTGCTAGGGTTATCCAGTAGGATGGCTGGAAGACTCCAATCCAGTTTTTAAAACTGTTTTCAGCTGCAGAACCATCACTTCTCATGATTTATTAAGATTAATGAAGGCCAACAGAAGGCGCATCCTACTAGATCCAGGCCAAAAGTCCATGGCATCCAGAATCTCATGAGGAACAGCAGCCAGGAAATCCATTGAGAAAGAGGACAACGTAACAGTCTACACAGCTATCCCCCCCCCTTCAAGCAATTGGTATTTAGATGGCTTCTGACCATGAAATTCCTATTTGCCTATAAATCCCTTTAATAACAAAATCTAAAGAGGAAGGAAAACTTGATTTGGGAGGAAAGGAGTAGGGAGAAAGTACTCTGACACCATCAGAACAGAATGTTAAAATACTGATGAAATCAAAGGAGATACTATTTTGATGAAATTATTTTGATCAATTAGCTTCCTGGGGCTGACCATCATAATCGGCTCTCTGCCCATGGAGGGTCTGAGTTCCAATGAATCTGAACCCCACCAGGTCATGATCTACCCGTGACAACAGAATTATAGAAAACTCCTCCAAATCCAAATCATTCTCACCTTGCCAAGCACTGCACAGCACAGAAAAGGAGGTACGGAGTGCTCACTGCGACATGAGGAGCCAGATATCACTTGGGGCAGACCCATAGTTGTCATGGAGGACATGAAGTCCTCAACAGCTCCTGACAAGGTGGCTTCTTCATGAATATTGACATTCCCCAGCACAAGAAGCAGCAGGAACTTCAGTATCACTCCCATGTCCATGTGACAAGCTTTCAAATATCTGAAGATGACTTCTTGGATTTCTCCTTTTAGCTGAACATACCTAAAATGCTTTGCATATGGCTTGGTTTTGAGTGCCACACTGCTTGCCCTCCTGTGGAAATGTTACAACTGCAATATACCACTAAACCAAAAACAAACAAACAAACAAACAAACAGATTTTTGAGTTCCTGAGAAGGGGTGGATATCTTTTGATTTATTTCTGTCAGTAATACAAAAACTAATATTTATTGATCACATGGTTGCAATGGACATTTGCATCAGAAACAGAATTTCCATCCAAGGAAAAACTGGCACTGACGTTTCTTCATTGGGGAAAAAATAACTTTGTTAGGTTTCTTCCATAATAAAAAGCGATTAATGGCCAGTATCCTGTACTCTGCATGTCTCTGGCAGTGACAGATTGTCTCTAATTAAAGGTTAAAAACTGGAACTGTTTAGTTAGAAGCAATCTGCCACTGCCTGTGACGTCAATTCTACGAGACTGATAGAGCAATGGAACAGGATACTGCCCCAAAAATATATTTTGGATTTAGAATATATTTTGCACTAAGTTTGAACGTGTTCCAATAAGCAAAAAATTTGGATTCATCATAAGATAAGTTTTCACAATCTATTCCAACTCAGTTATTTAGTGAGAAGTTTCTCCAAACTGCTTTGTCTGCTCAATTCTCCTGGGAATATTCAGATACTGGCACTCATGTAATATTTTCTTCTTTCCTAAGACAGTACTGTTTCTAGAAGCAGCATATCTCTCAAAGGGTATGCAGTAGAACCACAATCCCAGGAGATAATTTTCAAATCATTTTGGACCTAGGCCAAGATCATCAACATCATTGTATTCCTGATAACTATGTGCAGATGTAAAAGCTGGACAGTGAAGAAAAATGGTTCCCAACCCTGGGACTACTCTTGGACTAAAACTCCCAGAAGCCTTCACCACTGGCTGTGCTGGCCAGGAGCTTCAGTTTCAAATTTTTTGTCTCCAAAACTAACGTATAAGACTTTAACTTCTTGAGAGCTGGCATTTCACTATTTCCAGTGATAACAGGAACATTTGAAGATAACAAATTAACTTTAATGGGAATCCATGCTTTTAGCTGGAACATTTTTCAGCTTACTGGATTTTTATTTTTATGTTTTTACAATAATGATTTCCAGCTTCTAAAATACTCAGGTTCTAATCAACAAAATCAGTCACTATCTATAACCAACTACATATGAATAATGGCTACTTTTCCTACCCATCATTTTAGATATTCAGCCAGGATTGCTATACTAAGTTCAGGGAGGTGAGTACAGTTTTCTAACCATTTCAAGGTTGCTTAAAGAAAAGGAGGAAGGCCCTGCTTATACACAGCCAGAAGATTTAAAAAAATTCTTTGAGCTCTTCTTTGATTCTACTGGTAAATATAGTAGGGGTTTTTTTTTCAAACCCAGCTACTGGTTTCAGTTCAAAAAGGTAATACGAATACATAATAATCAGTGCAGTTGGTAGGTACTTTCAAACCTTGGCTTTTATGTAAAATGTTATTGTGGCATTTTAAGGAAACCATTAACCTTACGACTTTTCTTGTTAATGAAGCACAGAATCACACATTAAGACTGAAATCCTACACTCACTTTATGTTTTGCTGAGAGTAAACTCCATTAAACATAATGGGATTACTTCTGCACAGATTTGTATATGCTCATGCCATTAAGTATACTCTGTTTTTCTTCTATCTAGCACTATATTTCATGCATTATACTATACATTTTATTTTATAAAGACAATAAGCACTGTACAAGATAAAGTAAAAGGAGAGAGACACTCTTCCATAGACTTCCTATCTAAAACAGACATATAAAGAAAACAAAAATGAGTAATAAGGGAAGACAAGTGCACAATGTATTTTTTACAAGAAACTGATAAGAATATAGTAATACAATATATTTCGAAAGTGATTAAACTTTGTACTCCTGTGCATTCTTGCAAAATCCTTTACTTTGCAGTTCTGAAGAATCTTCAAAGCTACATATAATATGTCAGTATTTTTGACAACTGATGGAAGATTCAGGGACCATTGCTATATATGTACTCAGTACATTTTCCTAGACTATCTGGAAATGTTGACAGCTATAATGCTTGCTAGGTGGCTGATATTTCTCTTTTTAGTAGTTTTTCAAAGAAGAATAGTAGCCAATATATACTGTAGTAAATTGTCAAAAACTGCCAGGGCGACCATCTAAGGGCACGGTCTTAACTAACCAAGATTACTCTGCTGAGGCTGTACTGAATCCCAATCCCTTCCAGCCTCATCATGTGAGAAATTACTTAGAACTACCCTGACCCTGGCCTAATTTTGTGGTAGCATAATGGCTGTGTGCTTGGGCTGGCAGGGCTTTAGATAATGGCATAACTCAGCTCTCCCCCTTCTTTGCTCCATTTTATTATTCTCCTGGCTTTCTGATTCTAGCCAGCACAACAGCTGAGCTTGTGGATCAAAAATCAATCAGCGGAAGGGGGTTATGCTAGCAAAGGTGCAGTTGTTCCAGCTCCAGAAGTTTCTGCCCAGGTTTCTGCAGGAAGCATAGAGTTGTGTTAGGGTTGACCTGTAAATTGATCAATTAATGTGCTTGTGTATGCAGGCATGCATAAATACATATGTATTAAATGTTCTTAGTTCATGTATGTTGAAGGTTAAAATATGGGGAAATTCTTTTCTGGGGGGGAATCTAATTTGCTTTAAACTTTTTTCTTAATTTCAGAGATTCTGGCTTCTTTAAGATCACTGTTAGAAAATCAGTACAGCTGTTTACAGATCACAACAGATGTAGTTAGTAATGGAAACTGGAAATCTCATTTCTT